GAACAAGGCTACCAGACGGGAAGGTTAAATTTTCTCACCCACCAATATACAGATGAACACAACCCCCACACTTCTAAAAATTCAAGTTTAAATTCATTTGGAAAATTTACGAACTACTAAAAAACTATTATGGAGAAAAAGTACTAAGGCAGGACAGGGCAAGCCCTTCTAGACGTATCCTATAACCCAAGCCAACCGCATCGAGTCGATTCCAACTCACAGTGACCCCTTTGGCTTTCCAAAGCAGTAAATCTTTATGAAGCAGATTGCCTCATCTTCCTTCTGTGGAGCAGCTGGTGGGTCTGAACCGACAACCTTCTGGTAACAGCCAAATGTCTTCGGCCCTATACCACCGGAGCTCCTTAGATACACTATAAAAACCAAACCAAACTCACTGCCGTCAGTCGTATCTGACTCATAGCGACCCCTCCTTGGGTTTCTGAGGTATCTCTATGGAAGTAGATTGCTCAACCTTCCTTTGGAGGAGCGGCTGGTGGGTTTGAACCACCAGCCTTCTGGTTAGCAGTCAAGTGCCTTAGGCACTACGTCACCACAGTTTCTTAGATACACTATAACACATCAATAATCAAAATCACAGATTGGCTCCAAAAAGGAAACAAATAAGAATGAGTGTAGAGTTCAGAAATAAATTCTCCTTACATAGAAGAAGAGGCTATATATGTGATATATACTAAGTAAAACCACAGTAAAGAAAGAAATTAATGTTTCTGAGAGAACAGGATCCCAATATTGAGAAAAACTAATTTAGATCTAGCCCTCATTGTGTGTATGTATGTGTATGCGTGGGGGCGGGGAGAGAGAAAGATTCCAGCAAAATGTTTTGTTTTGTTTTCCTTGAATCCTATTATGGGAAAAAAGCAAGAGAATAAAGTATGCCATCCATAGAAAAACACAATCTTTTCACAAGGTAAAACATGAAAATTCAGACATTAAAAAGAAGAAAAAAAAAAAAAAGATCAGACACAATTACCAAACAATGATTCTAGAAAACTTAGAATCATAAATAAATAAAATTTTTATCTAAAATACAGGAAGAGCTTATACAAATCTATAAAATAAAAACTTCTAAAGCCCCAAAGGACAAACAATCAAACACTACAAAGAAAAGTCACACAGGAAAAAGAACAGCTGAGTAACTGGTAACTGAAGAAACGCAGAGACGTTAAAAGTCCGAGACGACACCTAATACCCAGGAGCAAAACTGAGATAGAAAGCTGCAGGGGCGAATGGACCTGAGGCGCCCAGTTAGGAAAAGCATGCACTGCTTTCGGATACCTGATGGCTTCAATCCTTCAGGAAGGCAATCTGGTAAAATACACAAAATCTCTTCTTTAAACTAATCCCATTCTTTAGCTCAAAAATTTCATTCTAAGAAGAAACAAAGTGATATGCAAAGGTGCTTACAGTAGGACTTTTTTTTCATAATAGGGAAATGATTAGGAATGGTTAAAGAATTACAGCATATTAACAGTAAGAGTATGAGGCCACTAAAAAAGGTAAACATGAAGACCATTTAAATACATGGAAGTGTGTATAAGAAATAACAAAGTGAGAAAAAGAATATATATACATACTGCATAATTATGACTGTATGGAATTATTCATAAAAATACTATGAAAATTATTTTTTTAATTTAATCACTATGTGCCAGGCACTATGCCAAGCATTCTACAAATTTTATATAATTAAACCTTATAATAACCCTATGAGATATATACTGCTGTCTTGATTTTAAAAGTGAAAAAACTAAGGCCCAGAAAGCCACTTGGACGGAGTCCACGACAGCTATGTGTGCAGTCAGGGTGTGAGTACAGCCGGTAGGACTCGGTACTTATGTGTATGGAAACCATATTTAAGAGAAGAGTTAGAGATGCAATTTTGGGGGTAACATTTTCAACAACAAAAAAAAAAATTAGAAAGTAAATCATGCCACACAAGTCATTATGAAGTGCTATGCTATAAGTCTGAAGCTTTGTCCTGCCACTTCTAAAACTTAGGAATGTTGCATTTATACAGACTGGCTGCCATTCACTTTCATTTTATAAAAATGGATACTTTATGTTTGTGACAACATGCAAAAACCACCTGGAACGCGGCTCCATTTTTACCTAAATGTCTTTTTCATGCTTAACTGCAGAGCACAGCCAAAAAGGCTTGCTAAATAAATCTTGTAGGTCTGTGAAAACATTTCCTGGAGGCAGGGATCACCACCACCACCACCACCTTGGCATGTGTCCTCACAGTTCTAAGAGCAGCACACTGAAGGATGAAGATATCCTCATCCACACCCTCGGCTGCCCCTCGAGTCCTACGCTTCTGCCTGTTCCCTAAAGTAAAGACAGGGTCTTTCTGATCCTTTTGCACAGACATGACAGAGGCTATGAAGTCCAGGCTGTCTGCGAGGCGAAGGTGAACTGCCATCAGAGCAGACAGGGGAGAGCTGCCGACCGAGGCATTCGCATATTAACAGGGAAAAAGTCCTAAAATACAACTGCTGCCCTTCACAGACAGGTTTTAGGAATAGTTTAGGCATCCAGATACACCACCATAAAACATTCCAAGGCAGTCTGGGGTTAGAGACACTTGGCTTCTGAAGACATGGCTGGCACCTGCCCTGTTAGCTGGAACATAATGTTCCTGGAGATAAACCACAATATACAAAGGTACCTAAAATTAAATGTACAGGAAACACAGATCTGTTTAAATGTCTAAGAAGAGTGACTCAAGGACCACCACCAGGTAAAGTCCATTTACCTATAGTTTTATGAGAAAAGCCAAGGTGGCCAAGAGAACTCAGTACCACAATAACGTTGGCTTAAGAAAGAATAAAGTGGGTGGTAGCTCAGCCACGGCATCTGGCAAACAACTGGTTCTAAAAAACTAGTTTTCCCTTTCCCGTTTGTAAATTGGCCTTTTTCCACAAAGACTTATTTTACTCAGAGAAGTTTGTTTACCGGTGCTCACAGACCTGCACACGCTTCCCTGTAACACTCTCCACGGCCGCCACTGTACTGCCTCTGTCACACAGACGGGAAGCCCACGCTGAGCTATTGCTCTCTGCACCGGCACATAAATTGTATGGTTGGCACAGGAGCTCCAGGGGTGCTGAGACGGCAGCTGCTGCTACTCCTCATCTCCAGCCCCGCCTCAGCCTCAAGGCTCAGGGCTGACTAGTTGACTCAATTCCTCAGGCAGATCCCTCACTCCAGGGGGAAAGGCTGTGGCCCTCACAGGGAGCCTCACGGGAGCCCTGCAATCTACCCTGGACAATGGCACAATCCAGCAGTGGCCTGAAAAGAACCTATCAGAGGCACTCTGAAGCCTCCATACAATGCTACTGAAGAACCAAAAGTGTTTACAGAGCAACTCAAAGACACTTCTTCTACTCGTAGGTCTGCCACAGAAAGGTCGGTGGCAGCGCCCTAACTCTTACGTGAAGCTCTGCCGCTCCAGATTTCTAACCCTCACGCTGAACCTATGCTAACAAGCATGCACAAAACGACTTCAATGTCACCTGCCTTTAAACACCTGTGCCGCCCACCTGCAGCTCATTGAAACAGTCCCATCCCTTCCCAGCTGCCCCAAATAAAGACAAATTACCAAATGACCAAACCAAAAATCTAAACTCACTGCCAAGGATTTGATTCTGACCCAGAGCGACCCCCACTGGGTCTCCAAGACTCCAAATCTTTATGGAAGCAGACTGCCCCATCTTTCCTCTGCAGAGCAGCTGGTGGGTTCAAACCACTGACCAAATGCCTTAACGACTACCACATCAGAGCTCCTCACCGAATGAGCAGTACTCACTAAAGATTTGACAATCTTCAAAAAGTTTAGAAAAACAATTTTTTCTTTCTTATTCAATACTATTCTGGTGAGACAGAGGGAAAGCATGGCAAAAATTGACTTGTGCTGAAATAAGTCTTTCCCTGCCTACTTAGAGGCAAGCAGGGCCATGTGCAAAGAGGTCTGATGTGTACGTGGCAGGTAACTGTCTACTCTCAAGTGGGGCCCTCACTAAAATGGCCACAGCACATCCACCAATGATAGTCTGGTGGTCAGCATCCCAACCCACTCAATAGCACCACCATTTTCTTCAACCCAGTTCTCAGCAACAATATGGTCCTCTTTTCCTTAAGTATGAGTCAACTGGAGAACTGTTAGATTCAAGCTCATTTTAATATTGGGGTCTTCTCTCACCTACACTGTCCTCTGACACAGTCAGGCTCATGTTCCTTTACTGGAGACAGAGTCCCAGCTCCACGTTAGAACAGGTTCAAGGCCACTGCTATCGTCCAGGCTGGCGCTGTGTGCTATCATCACTCACCTGTGCCATTGGGCAAGCCACTGTGGCCTGGGTTCTTGATGGGCTGGCGGTGTCGGTTCCTAGCACCGGGGCTCTGCTCGCTAGATCCTGTGCTTGTTCTGGCTGAACCACCTGAATGTCTGTGCGTCCTAGGGGTTCAAAGTATAGAGGAGACAGATAAGTCACTGGGAAAAAGAAAGAAGTGTATCCCACCTAAGTCACTGTATTCCCTTGCACAGTATTTATTGGAAACAAGGCCTATTAATAGCCCCACTAGTCTTTGATTCAACAGAAGCTGGCTCCAAACAGAGAGACTCAGGTACGCTTCCTTCTCGGTAAAAGTACAGAAGGCAACTTTTTGTAAATTTTTCCACTTGAAGTAAACAAATCCAGAGTGAACTGCTCCCACATCTGAAATAACTGGCAAAATATTCTGTGTCCATCACATTATTTTTATTGGGCTAAAATGTTAGAAATAAACAAGAATCACTGGACAGGTTACAGATGAAATATTTCTCCCACTGGGCAAAAAGAGCCCAAAACCTATCCAAATCAATTTTCTCTACAGCTAGAAAGATGCTTCCCTTAGGAAGAGAAGTCAAAGGTATTGAAAAACTTAAATCAATGTATATGTTTTATCCAGAAAGGATGACTAAAGCAGACTTAACAGTCCATCCAAGTAAGTGAGGAACAGGTAGAACAGGATTGACCGTACAAAGAGCACAGTGGGACCTTGTGGGAGAACACGAGGCAGCAGGGAGTGGGTGTAAGCAAGAGCCTTGCGGAGCTCTGTTCACTCAGGAAAGATACCGAAGCTCTCTGCTCTTCAGGTCAGCTGTTTCCCAAAGGAGATTACTCTGCTACTTACTTCTTGCTACTTTTCAATAGTGAGAAGGTTTAAATATTAGCCAGTGAAAATAACAGCACCTCTCTCCAGGCAAAGAAACAGAGGCCCAGAGAACAATTCATGCCATGTGAGACAGGGCAAGAAGAGTAACATCTACAATTTAAGTAATAATACTGACCATGTAAGTATACAAGAGCCCTGTTGGTACAACAGTTAAGCACTAGACTGCTAATCATATGGTTGGTGGTTCAAACCCAGCCAGGAGCTCTGTGGGGAAAAGACCCGACAGTCTGCTTCCATAAAGATTGTTGTTAGTGCCGTCGAGTTGGCTCCAACTGATAGCAACTCCATGCACGACAGCATGAAACAGTGCCTGGTCCTGTGCCAGCGTCACAATCCCTGCTATACCTGAGCCCATCTTTACAGCCCTGCATCAATCCAGCTTGTTGAAAGCCTTCCCCTCTGTCATTGACCTTCTACTCTACCGAGCGTGACGTCCTTCTCCAGGGAGTGGTCCCTTCTGACAACATGACCAAAGTAGGTGAGACGAAGTCTGGCCATTCTCACTTCCAAGGAACACTCTGGCTGCATTTCTTCCAGGACAGATTTGTTTGTTCTTCTGGCAGTCTATGGTATTTTCAGGATTCTTCGCCAACACCACAATTTAAAAGCATCAACTCTTTTTTGGTCTTCCTTATTCACTGTCCAGCTTTCACATGCATATGGCTCGGGTGAGGCGCACCCTAGTCTTCAAAGTGACATTTTTGCTTCTTAACACTTTTAAAGAGGTCTTTTGTAGCACATTTGCCCAATGTAATATGACATCTGATTTCCCGATTGCTACTTCCAAGAAAACCCTATAAAGCGGTTCTACTCTGTCACATGGGGTCACTAAGCAAAACCTGACCCAATGGCATCTAACAACATGGAAGCATATAGTTTTCATCGAGCTGTAATATCATGTGCCCCACTAGGGGCACTGTGGTCTGCATCTTGCATATACTATCTCACTGAATATGGCAACCCTAGAGGTAGCTTGGGAGCTCTGGTAGCATAGTGGCTAAGACACTTGCCTGCTAACCAGACGGCTGGAGGTTCAAACCCACCAGCCACTCCTCGGAAGGAAGGTTGGGCAATCCTACTTCCGTAGTGATACTGCCTCGGAAACCCAAGGAGGGGTCGCTATGAGTCGGGGCCGACTCGACGGTACATAACAATAACAACAACAGAGGTAGCTTACCATTGTTGTCAGTGGGTGCCATTGAGTCAATTCCAACTCATCCCCGTGGACACAGCCGATCTGCCCCACAGGGTTTTCTAGGCTGTAAGCTTTACAGGAACAGGATGCTAGGTCTTTTCTCCTGTGAAACTTCTGGGTGGGTTCAAAGCACTGACCTTTTGGTTAGCAGCTGAGCACCTAACCGTTGCACCACCAAGGCTCCTTGTCATTGTTGTTGTTATGTGCCGTGAAGTTGGCCCCAACTCATAGCGACCCCTCCTTGGGTTTCGGAGGCAGTATCACTATGGAAGTAGATTGCCCAACCTTCCTTCCACCAAGGCTCCTTAGCTTACTATTATCATACCCATTTTACAGATAAGACAACAGACACAGAGAAGTCCTATAGAAAGTACGTGACGGTGCAGAGATTCAAATCCAGGCAATCCGACTTCAAAAGTCCATGTTCTCTGGCTGGGCGTAGGGGTGGGAAGCCTAGACTGAGTTACTTCCAGGCTGTTCTTTCACTGGTCACTTGGCCAATGGCGGCATTAATTATGACCTGTAATACAAAGTGCCCCCACTAGGAGGCTCTACATTCACCAGAGCATCCCTGCTGGTGACACTCTGGTCCCAACTGTTGGGACAAGCCTGCAGTGCAAGAAATAAGGAGATGCCAAGTGAATATGAACAGCCCTCACCACCTTCTCTCTCTAGTGCAAGAACAGATTTTTCTGACAAGATGGGCATAAACAAAAATGTTGCCAGGGATTATCTTTGGATAATGAGAATATGGAAGCTTTTAACTCTTACTTCTGTGCTTTTCTAGCTTTCTTCACTGTGCCTGTATACTTTTAAATTAGGGGAGGATCACACACACATATACAAACAAGTAAAAAAAAAAAAAAAGATTGGTGTTTCTTGAGCCAAAACTAAAAAAAAAAGAAAGAAAAAGAAGAAGGCTTGGAGAACCCTGAAGCCCTTCATGCTTACAGACTGCGTGGCAGCTCAAAATGGAGAGAGGGTCCAAATGAACTATGGAAATAAAGCTTTAACCTGGACTCTCTTTTTCCATCTTATTTTTCCCTTAGCTAATTTCATAAATCAACACTGTCAGCCACTCCTCAGTCAAAGAAAAATATTTCGGCGTCCCCACTTGGTGAGAAGAAATGTTAGTACTAAGCACTTTACCACAGCTCCTCATCGGAAGCAGAATGAGCACACACCAGTTCCACAGGGAAAGACGGTCTTTAGTGACCAGTGAATGTGTGTATACGTGCTGAGGGCAGAGAGTCGGAGAGAGAGAAAAGTGGTTAACAGAAGGGTTATTTCGGCCACGAATCCCCTTAAAAGGACAAAAAGAGGTGCTCTGACTTGGTGCTCACAGCCCATAGCAGAGGGCTGCATCCTGCAGGAGCAGCTGGCCACGCCGGCAACACAGAAAATGCAGCCTCAATCCTGTCACACGCATGGGCTCTGACAAGTCCATGATTACTTCCAGTCACCCGGGCTCCTCGTCCCTCTGCAGAGCAGCCGGGCATGACAACAGGGTGGGTCCCATTACTCTTCTGGTTCCCTGGCTCCTCCCTCCCTTCCCCGAAAGGGCATGCGGTCCGAGTTGAGAGAGGATACTTTCAGAACTGTTTAACCACTAATGATAGCAGCTTACCCTGAATGACAGGCTGGAGCAGAGCCGGGATTAGCTGTAAACCAAGGGCAGCTGGGACCACTTTGTGTGAATTGCTGCCTCCCTGCCTGTGGACAAATGCCACTCTCACCACCCCCTACACACACACACACACCCTTTCCCCAGATTCTTCCCTTGCCCTAAATCTAGAGTTTCCAGTGTTGTACTCCAGTTACCACCTTTAAAATAAGACACTCAGAAGGAAGAGAATACCTCCACATTTGAGGAAAACCTCTTCAGCAGTTCCCTCTCTTGGAGAACTCACTCATCCTTTAAAAGATGGGATTGTGTCATGATTAGAAGCTAACCCACATGCTGAAACCACACACCACAGGCCAAAATAGTATCAGGGCAAATGCTAGGCGATGGGGTGGAGATGAGCTGGGCTTCACCACAAACAGCCTGGCTTCTGCTCTGCCAATGACTTCAACCTTGGCCTAAGCTTGCCACCGTTTAGGGGGTGGGGGTAGCTATGCAGCCTCTGGAGCAGGCAGAAGAGGGCTGAACAGCAATGGCAGTGAGACCAAACTCCAACAATGGTTTCAAGGCATCTAGTTACAGAAAGTCAACTCACAGCACGTGTCTTGGAGAATGCTGGTGTGTCCTCCTTACCTAAATGACTTCCTCAGAGACAGAGGCCTCCCTCAGGAAAGCCAAACAGGGACAGGGACCTGCAATTTCTCTCCAAGTTCCTGAAAGCGGTTCCGATGGAGATCAGGTCCCCGGGGGAGGACTCCTGGCTGTCCCTTGGCATTCAAGTCTTTGACATTCTCAGCTATACCCTGAGAACCAGAACTTGCATGCCTCACCCTTCATGAAGGCAAATCACAAATTTTTGTCAGCAATTATTTTCTAAGTGATAGCCTGTTCTAGAACTGGCAGCGTAACAGAAAAAGTGCCTGACCTCAAGGAGCTTACATTTCAGTGGAAACACAGTGATTTGAGATTTTGTTCAGACACAAATTTGCATTCCACTCTTCAATGCCGTGTGTAGTGGTACCTTGGACACTGAGTGGACCTGGTTGACTACTTGGCATTGCCACCCTAGTGCAGCTCTGTAGATGACTGTCACACACACAACAGTTTATGTGGAGTAATTGAAAATAAAACACAACTTTTTTTGTTGTTGTTTTAAATAAAGGAAGCCAACCCTGGCATTGCTTATGTAAATGGACTTTAAAAAAAAAACTGCAGAATCAAAAAAGTGATGGCTGTCCAAACAGAAGATGAATTTTTTTGCTAAATTATAAAGTGGTATTAAAAATTAGGTTATATGCATGGTCTCAGGGACATCAAGCTCAACTGGCATAACATATTACACAAAACCATTGTTCCACATCCTACGTTGATGAGTATTGACTGGCATCTTAAAAGCTTGCAGGCAGCCATCTAGATGCTA